CAGCATCATTAAATCAATAAAAGAATCGGCTTGAAAACTAATGAGCAATTTATAGTATCCCGAGGATTTTTGATCATAAAATCTTTAAAAAATTTAAAACTCGCTGACGATTAACACCATTTTTGTATAAGATTATTAAAACTAGGGAATATTAACCAAGCATAACATGACATAATAAAAATTTTAAATTTTTTTAATGTTCAATTTTTGTGAAACGCACATGACCAGCAACGCAAAATTCTATTGGTTGATCAATGTCCTCATGCTTCGGACAATTATGGAAATATACATTCGTATCATATGCTGTATTATTATTTAACATATAAAATAAAGAATTATTTTTAAGATTCCATTGATTTATTTAGGGGGTTTTTATTTTTTACGCACCTGCGCAAAATGCAGGGGTGCGTAAAATGCATGTAAAATTTTAAAATACAATATTTTTACACATGGTATAAAATTTTTAAAAATTTTATTAAAATTTAAGCGATGCATTTTGATTTTTTGTACGCATCCCTATATTACAATAAAATTAAATAAAATGTTTCGCAAATAATAAACTTTCATTAGAAATTTGTCTAATAAGGAAATAGCAAATAGCATTTCTATAGTGTTGATAAAATGAAAAATAGTTTTTGCCTTCCCAGCGACCAAAGGGAGCCGGGCTCAAATTACAGTAGTAATTTGAGCATATTAATTAAACATTCTAAATACTAATCATTATTCTTTCTTTTTTCCCATGATGATTATATCCACTTTCATTGCATAATCCACATTTGCGAGCTTTGTTAACATTATTAGAAGTTTTTTAAAGGTCCTTTGAATTTGCAGTATCTGGTGGTCATCCTTTTGGACGCCTACTTTCACTATCATCTAGAATATTTTTGATAAAATCGATAGGAAATTTTTCATTATCTGAATTATCGCTTGAAAGTGATCCTTAAACACTCATTTTAAGGATATTCAACAATAAGATTTATTTAAAAAAAAAAAAAATAGGGAAAGAGAGAATAAAAAGAAGAGAGAGAAAGAAAAGAGCGTGGGTACCATTGATTAAACCATTGATTTATTTAAAAGTCTAATAAATGATCGTGCACATGATCATATGGACTGCGCATCAAAAAAACTACGCATGGGATGTATATTACACACCCATGTAAAATTCATATTTAATAATTTACTATACATGCATAGAAAAAAAATCTGCATGGGTGCATTTTGTGCAGGGTGCGCAAAATACAAATTTCCTTATTTAGGAGGTTCTAATTTTTATATAAATCGCAAGAAAATTTCACCTTTGATTCATAACAAACAAATACACAATCAAATAATAATAGTTAATATGACGTTGAACGTAACCATTATATTTAACTTTATCGTAATAACGTTAAGCTGAGTTTTCATAAATTGACTTAGAGAATGATTTTAATTAAGAATTAACAGAAATTGAAAAATGTTAGTAGAAATAAAAATAATTTAAATAAAAGCAAAAAGAAACTAATCTTGAGTTAATTCAAGTATATCAAACAAATTGTTATTTAATTGTTCCAACAAACAAATATGCCTTTGATAGCTAGCGATTAAATTATTATCGTTATAATTAGGATTAGCAGTAGAAATCGTATCAGAAAAATTCGTAACGCTAATGGTAGAATTCTCAAGAGAAAGTGCCCCAGAATGGTCGACATAATATTCTGCATCACCCGTCGTAATATGACTATCGCTCATATGTCTATCAAATACGAATTGAATAGTTTTGTTTTCCATGTAATGGGATTTGGCATCCTTAGCTAGATTAATGTAAAAATCTTTTACATTTTCTGTTTCTTTACTCCAAGATTGTTTTGTGATTTTGGAAAATTGGCCCATAGGAGGTAACTTAATATTTTTTTTACGATATTCTTTAATTAACGCCATTCTGTACGCGATAAAAGCGTTTGAGGGTGATTTCAATTTAATAACATTTTTGATGAGATCGTTTATCGTTAAATCTGGAGGGAAAGTCGGTTTGATTTCAGTGAAATCATTATTGGTGTTGTCGCAAATTTCAATTTCTCGATTTAACCTAGAAAGCGAAATA